TCAACCGCTGAAGTAAAAGTAAAACAGAAGGCCACGAGGGCTCTGAGTAAAAGGTGTAACCGACCCCCGTGCACCGCTCACAGTTGAACATGAGAAGTCCGCCCGGGAGACGTCGACCTTTTCCTAGCTCCTTCTCATCGTTTCTCCACGTTAAGCCGATGGTCAGTGCTAAGCTGTTCATTGAGTGACATCTGTAATCATTTCTGTCAGATAAGGATCAAACATTACCAAGAAAAAAAGATCTGGTTGGGGAAAAAAGTGGCCTGAATATGTGTCAGAGACCAGAGTACAGGGAAGTCGGAGGGGCGGGACTAGAAAAATTTGGAAGTTTCATCGGTTTTTTAAAAAGTAAACTTAGCCTACCTAATGTTCAGGACACTTCTTTCTGGAGCCTCACAAAGCTGCTGAATTACATGTATGCTGTTTTTACTTTTTTGCAAATCGGGAGAAATAAAGAGGTCCCAAAAATTCAAACAATCCATCAATCGATCGACGGCGACCGTCCCCCGTCCCCCGTCCCCCGCCCCTCGCCCCTACCGGGTGCGCTGCGGAATCCGGCCGGCGCGGAACCGGGTGTCTTCCGCGCGTCGGGCCACTGCCTGGCGTCAGCTCCAACCCCGCGAATCTCGCCGGGGCCGCGGGGCGGGGGCCGCCCGCTCCCGAGCCGGTGGGACCCGCTCTCGGGAAGCCCCTCCCGCCAGGGCTCCGGGGGTGACTCGGCCGGAAGCGCGGGATCCGGGACACCGCCCGCGGCGCGCGCAGAACCAAGGCGAGCCGGGCTGTGCGCCGGGACCCTCCTCCCGGAAGGCTGCCGGGGCTCTTCTGCTGCCGGGGGTTGGGGGTGGGGTGGGCCAAGGGGGTGGGGAGCTGGCAGGTGTGCGCCGCCCGCTCGCTCCGCGACCCGCAGCAGCCAGCCCGGGACGCCCCAGCCAGTCGAGGAGTTCCCGAACACCGCCCTCCCAGCGCGTCTTGGGGCGTGAACGCAGAATCCTTGTAGCTGAAAGGAATAATCAAATATTTATAAGATTTCCTGCAAGACGCTTCACAATAGAATATACTTCTTATCTAGTCGGAAATTTGCCAGAAAGTCATAAATAATTGAGACAGCTGTGATTAACCTCCCAGAAACCATACCAGAATTCGCAATTAAACATTTAATTGAATAGTGTCTTTTGCCCCCCTCGTCCGGGAGGGGAGGGGGGGTTGATGGAGACAAATGCCGGCTCCGCCCGGCTAGGGAGTTTGCGAGAATCCGGCCTGGAGTTCCGCGGCGCCCCGCGACCCGCACGGTTTCTTGCGTCTCTCCAGTTCCCTCCTTTAAGGCGCGTTTGGCGCGGCCAGTGATTTAAGCTCTAACTCCCCTGAGTTTTATGACTTCCAAAGTCTCCAGGGATGGGGGAGCGCAGCGCGCAGGTGAGCGCCGGCGCATCTTGTTCCAGTCTGCGGGGACTAGTGCCACCCACTGGCTTTCTCCTGCGGCGGGGGCCGCATCTCCGGTCTCCCGAGGCTCCGGAGCCACAGGTGGATCACGCTGCGCCCAGGCGAAAGGCCTCTGCTGGGTGCAGCCTGTAAAGCTGGCGGTGTGAATGGGCATAGCCGGGGCAAAAGCAACAATTTCGCTCGGGCATCAGAGCCCAGAATCTAAGCCAAATAGGAAAAAACTGCCGCGACCCGGCAGCAATGACATTTGAGCGCCCAACTCGGTTGCCCAACCGAGTTTCCTGCTCCCGGCGGCAGCTCGCTTTCCGGGGAGCCTGGCAGGGCTCGTCGTCATCCTGGACGCCCAACAGGATGTAGGGGCTGCAGCTTCCTGCCCGAAGTTCCGGAGCCTCTCCCTGGCTCCAGACACTGGGGTCTCTGTGACCGCCCCCCATCCCTGAACGCCACCCCCGTTGAACCCAGGTCTGGACTTCACCTGCCGTACAAGCCTGCCCCTTCGTCCGTCCGTCCTTCCCTCCTTCCTTTCTTCCTTCCTTCTTCCCTCCCTCCCTCCCTCCCTACCTTCCTCCCTTTCTTTCTTCCTCCTTTCCTCCCTTCCGTCCTTCCCCAACTCGGAAACTTGGGTCCTTTCTTCTAGATCTCCTTGCCAGCCTTCTAAATTCTTCGTTCTCAATAATCTGGAAAGGGATTACTCCTCACCGTCCCTATTCTTCCCCTCCTCTCTCCAGTTCCCTCACCCTGACACATGGTTCTCCTGCCTTCTGTATTCAAACCACCCCCCTTATCCTGTTTCTCGGTGAGGAGATTCTCAGCCTTCCTGAACCCCTGCCCCTGTTGCTCACTCCCTGACTCACTCTCCCGCGAGCTCCTAACCTTCTGGACAAAGGCCCCCCTCACCTAACACTCCTGCCTTTCTTTCCTGATTGCTGTGGGGCCCCAAACTTCCTTTATAAATTGAGCCAACCCCAAATCCACATCTGGATCCCAAAGAGTATATCCTTGTGCCCTTTCTCTCTGCCATTACTACTCTCAGTCCAACTGCATTTATCTTCATCAACAAGGTGCTAGTCCGTAATTGGTCACCCAATCCTCATTAATGCACTGAATCCCAGTATCTTGAGGAGAGTTTACCTTTACATCAATCAGACCCCTATTTAAAAGCCTCTAATCTTCCCTACATCAGTTTAATAAACTCTGAATTTCCTGCTTAGAACTTCTCTTCAAATAGTTTATTATTCATTCATTGTTTCCTCTCCAGCATTCTGCTATTCAGCTAATTCTCTTGCTCTCTTTGGTCACCATTTTTATGGGAAAACACAGCTAACTAAATGTAAGGCAATGTATGTCCTCCCCTAGGCAGCAGTGGCAGAATCTGAACATTTTCTAGAGAACAATCTTAGACAATGTCTCATTTAAACCCAGTATTTGCAGCTCTGAGCTTTAAGTCATCCCACATTCAAAATTGAAAGGCTGATTTCTGTTCCACAACCCATTAAATATTAAAGTTCGTTGGGAATACTGCCACAGGGACTCTGAATTTCCCAGAATTGTGCAGCTTTTCAATATGTATTAAATTTTGTGGCATAATGGCAATAAAGTTTTCCATCTCTGGGAATCCCTTTCCTGCCTCAATTACATAGAGCTATCCAAATTATTAGATAAATCTTCTGGAAAAAAATATTATTCTAAAGTGAATCTAGTTAAATAACTCCCATTTTCCACCTATAGCCCCTTTTTATTGAACTGACTTTTTACCACACAATGGGGTTTCTCACTTTCAAAGTTCAGTAAGCATAAAATACAAAATTTGTGATTGTTACAGGTAATTTAATTTACAAGGAAATCCCAGCTGTATTACTGAACATGTTTAAAGATGACCTGGGAACCAGTAAAATTGATATTTATTAATGTGACTAACCAGCCATAGATCTGACACCTCACCAGCGACCATTGTAATAAGGTTTCAAAGTCAAAGCCTTTCCCCAGTAACCCACATGGGAAACGGTCCGCCCTTTCGGGCGGCTAGCAGCAAACTGCAGGAGAAGAGTTTATGATGTTTTCTACAGTAATACAGACAGTTTCGGGCATCCTGATACACAGTAACCACTTTTATCTGGGTAATTTCCCAATATTCAAAATCAGCACACTCACATAAATATCAAAAAGGGGAATTAGATATCTGATCCAAGAATAAGAGTTCACTGTAATTAGGCAGATGTTTCCATTCATAGCATTAAATAGTCTGTCAAAAGCAAAAATTCAGAGCTAATGAACAATAAGCATTAATGAAATTCTTTGCTCAAGAACTTGTTTCCTTTTTTAAAATGACAAAACCCAATAAGCTGGATTAATCAAAAGTTTTTAAAAATTAAGATTTCTTGGAAGTTTAGCCTCCTATCCAATGGCCAGCTGGAAGGTAAGAGGAAATATCTGTGTTTCTGTTTGGGAGGGAATGGTCTCAGTTAAGGGAGCGAAGCCTCAAAGAACCTAACTCTGATTATTAAAACCGTTTCTAAGCACTTGAGAGGTAAAGCTGGTCCTCATTAACTCTAGAGATCTTCTCCCTCTAAGTTTGTGCCACCATTTCCTAAATCCCAAAGAAAGGGAATGTTCTCTTCAAATTTTGTGCTGGCATCACCTTGACTTTGAGGAAGTAAAACATAAATTTGGTTTGATTTTCCCACCTCTCATTTTCTTTCAATAATTGACTGCCAGCCCTCCAGCTTTCCTTTTCTAATGGGGGCTCAGGGTTGGGGAGTGGGTGGGGTCATGGAATCCTCCCATCAGCTCCGCTGAAAAATCTACAGTGACCTCTGGCCATCCAAGCAGCACATAGCTTCTTAACAGAAGGCACCTACTCCTCTATCCAGCGACCACAGCTGCCCCACGGACACATTTTTCCTTACCAGACTCTACCTGAGCCATCCCCTATTCAGGGCATTTCCCTTTTTCAAAACAAATCCCGGACAAAGAAGGATATACTTGCGGGTCATTTATCTCGAGGGACAAGGAAGCAGAAACCCAATGCCAGAGATTCTTCAAGAGTAGTGGTTTGGTAGGGTGGCAGCTTCCTGAGTCCACCAAGTGAGGCCTGGTCTGAGGAAAAGAACTGTCCCAGGCTGTCAAAGGGTTAAATATTTGTTAAGGGTAAAACCTGAGCCTCCTGTTTTTTGTGCTAGCCCGGGGGCCTGCTGGAGATTCAGTATCTCTCGCTTATTTCCTGCGATCACTAAAGCCCGTTTTCAGGAAAACAAGTCGCAGGGGTTTGAAATGTCACACCAAGTGACCTGGGCACGGCATATCCAGGGGCCATTCCCAGCCCCCTCCCACCCGGGCCATCCCCCGCCCCCTGCATTTAGGCTCTGGAAAGAAAATAAACCAAGGACACGCCAGACTGGTTCTGGGTGGACTTATTTTCCCGGGCAGCCGCGATCGTAGCGGGGGCTTGTTGTGGCTCCTTCAGTGTATCGCTTGCAGGTGATGCCAAATGCAGATAAGGAGCCGCCGCCCGGCCTTCTCCTCTGTCTAGACGGGGGAATTAATAAATGCAGCGAGATCGATCACGTCGCGCATCCACTCTGGGGACAGCGCTGAGGGTGACCCGTTACAGGCCCCCTGTTCGCCCCGGGCCCTCGGGCTCCCTGCTCCGGGACTTGGTCGTAGCGGCAGGCGGGCGAGACGCCTGGGGCAGAGGGGTCTGCCCGGGGGTAAAGCACGGGCAGGGCCCAAGTGCACCGGCCGCAAATGCAGCTAGGGGCTGCAGACTCGGCCCTTGGCGGGCACCCGGCTCCACCAGAGGCAAAGCCGAGGGAGGAAGAATCCCTCGCGAGCCTGACCGCAGGCGGGAGTCCGCCGAACAGCTGCCAACCAAGCGTCGCAGGTTTCCCGCTCAAACGAGGTCTCCTCACCTGCCCCGCGGGCTTCAGTCGCGAAGCGAGAGGGACCTTGGTGGAGGGTGCGCGATGCCGAGACCCGCCCGGAGCAGGGAGCGCGCCCGGGCTTCCGGGAGGGCCGCAGCACTTTCCGCCCGGGCGGGGACCGCCTGGGGGCGCACGGACCCAGCCCCGCCCCCCACGCGGCGCCCAATCCCCGCCGGGCCCGCCCCCGGCCGTGCGGGAGGCCTCGGAGCAGTGGCGCGCGAGGCGCGGGCACGAGCAGCTGGGCCCACCCCTGGGACCCCGGGGCCGGCTCGACCCCGCCGCCTTTTCGTTGAAACCAGCTCCCAGCCCCAACCTGCGTCCGGCCGGCCCTCCCGCTGCGCCCACAGCACACAGCAGCAGCATCGCATTGGGTTATTATTGTTTTTTTATTAAGATCAAAATATCCATCCCACTGTGAACTGGCCGTTCTCACAATAAATAACAATAACTTACGTTTTGTTCGGTAAAGGCTCACACACTCTGTCCTCCGTCGACTGATAATTTAAAACATTTTCAAGGAAAGTCTCGTTTCTACTTTTTCCGGCAATCATGCGCTTTGGGGATTCAGTGTCTGTTCCATTTGGATTGTCCCCGCTTAGAGCCCGGACAAAGCTGCCGGCTTTGGGGTAGGAACCCGCCTGAACGAGCTCCGGGTGGCCCCGCGCCAGATGCGCCCCGCCTGTTCTCCACGCGTGGGGGGCGCGGACAGAGCGGCGCTGGCCACGCGGAGCGAGGGAAGAGGAGAGGGCAGAGCTAACGCTAGTAAATCCCAAAAACTGGTTTTGAAAAAATAAAAGTTCTCGAATTAGGGCTCTCCGGTCTGGTGAAAGCAGGTTGTATCCTGGAGCTTTGGGCTGTCCTGACCGCTTCTCTGTCCTCTCTCGTTAAATAACAATAATAATAATTACAAAGGCGAGAGAGTTTTCGGAGCTGGAATGGCTTGAGCACGGGTGAGTCTCATGCAGGGGGCATGCGAGGTCCGCGGGCTGGCGTGGACGGGGTCCTCTCACGTCTCCACGGGACTCGGCACCATGCTGTTGGGGGTGTCCGGGAGCTGCGAGGACAGGGAGGTCACATCGCTGCCGGAGGAGTTGCCTAGCGAGCCAGACTCAGAGAAGGAGACCTGGGGATGTGCAGACACCAAGAAGAGGCGGGTGAAGAGGCGCCGGAGCTGCTGCTCCCAGGCCGCACACTCTGAATTGAGGAGGTCCCTTAGGGACAAACCACCGGCTAGGAGCAAGCCCTTCAGAGATGTGGGCCAGTCCCCAAGAGCTCGCTGGGGTATTAGGGAGGGAGCTCCAGTTGGTTAATCTCTCCATCTCCCTTGCGAGTGCTTTAATCTAGGGAGACCTGGTTTAGAGCGAATTATGGGCTAAGGTGCATTTGCAGTCCCCTTATCTATCCCCCCACCCCTTGCCTAGAGCTGTCCCCAGCCCCTCATCCCCTGAGAAGTCCCTCCTTCCCACCTTGATCAACTGGCTAAATCCCACCCCTCCCAATCCTGAGGTCTGGGTGTGTAGGGCAGGACCTCACCAGCTGCTGGAAGGCCGGTTGGTCCAGGTCACTCTGGAGGGCAAACTCGCTGAGGGCTTTCCAAGGTGGCTGATAGGTCTGCACCTCCACTGCGCTGCCCTGCACAGCGCTCTCGTGACGGATGGGGCTGCCCGCCACCAGGGGCGTTCCGGTCAATCCCTGGAGGCTCTAAGGGACAAGCGGAAGTCAGGGTGAAAGATGCTCAAGTTAGGCTCTGTGTCTCCCACCACATCCTTGACACTGAGGCTCGAGATTTTGGACCTGAAGCAGTTTGGGGACCTGAAGCCGTTTTGGGAGAGGCACTCCCAACATCACAACCAGGTAGTCCTCCTTCCCTGTTAAGACACTCGAGACCCAGAAATCTCCACCATAGTCCAGCCTCAATGCTGGAGCCAACAGGGGGCCAACAGAGCAAAGGACTTCAAGGTTCCCATTTTTCCGGAGGAAAAGTGTCCAAACCAAGCCATGCCAAGAGAACACAACCTGCCCGAACAGGAGCTGCATAAGCCGCCTCAGGCTCCGAGCTTCCAACTTAGGTCTGCCGCTGGGACAAGAAGATCCGACCTCCGGTACAATGATTAAGCAGCCTTAATCTCCAGGGCAAACCTTGCTCTGAACGCGCAGACACACGCTATTTGGACAATCCAGCTGCCCCTGGATCTCCCCACAGCGCGCCCAGAAAAGGGCCCGCAGATGCCGCCGCGAGAACTCGGTGCCCCGCCCTACCCGCTCCTGGTGCTCAGTCCCTCGCCCTCACCGTCTTGTCGTTGTGCTGCTGCTGCTGCAGCTGCTTCATGAGGATGGATTTCTTCTTGTCCTTGCAACGCTTGTTCTGGAACCAGACGCGGATGACCCGTGGGCTCAGGCCGGTCATCTCCACCAGCTGCTCCTTCATGAGCGCGTCGGGCCGCGGGTTGGCGGCATAGCAGGTCCGCAGAGTGTGAAGCTGCTTCTCGTTGAGCACGGTCCGCACGCGGGTTGTCTTCTCCGTCTGTTTGTGCACGTGCGGGCGCAGCGAGGGCTGCCGGCCCGACCCGGGGTCTGCGAGGACAGGCGGAGAGGTGAGCTCGGGGCTGCCCCCACCCCCTCCGCCCGGTGCCCCGTCCTGAGGCGGCTGAGCCCTCCCAGGACCTATTTCGTTTCTCTTCGTTGCCGGTCATTTCGCTTTATTGTTCCTCTACCTTTCCAGCTGTGTGCCCTACCCGGCGAGAGCTATACATTTTCGTCCCTTCCCAAGTCCCCGAGCGGGCAGCCCCGGAGCGCTGTCCCCGGAGCGCTAGCAGGGCGTGGGAGTCCTGCGGCAGGCCGCTGTGGGACGGCAGTGGCCGCTCCCGGCTGTTCCTCCTGCACTTACCGACCCTAGGAATGCCCCCTTGGGCCCTGCGGGACGAAGGAAGCCCTCCGGAAGAAGTCGGAGTTTCAGAGGAAGAGGAAGGAGGAGCTCCCGGGACTCCCTGGAGGGGGAAGGAGGCCGACCAGGGCCCCGGCGCCGCGCCGCTTCGGGATTAGGGGGCTTGTCTCCCGCTCCTAGAAGAGCCTCCCGCTCTTGCAAGGGCCCTTCCTCCTCCTTCAGAGACCACTCAGACAAGGCCGCGAAGACCTGGCCTGGAGCGCCTATTGGCCTCCAGGGACAGAAGGGGCTCGCCTGCCAGCGCTCGGGCCTCAGCTCCCGGGTCTCCTCCTGTAAGTTCTCCTCCTCTAACCTCCTCTAGCTTCCCCGGTCCAACGGCCGCTCACCCTCCCTGCCCGAGCGCAGCCGCTAGCATTCTCGCTTGGCTTTGGGTTCTTTTAGCCCCCGGTAAATAGAGCCTGATGCCCAAGGGCCCGTAAGCCAAACCCGCACCAAACAAAAGGGAGCCCCTCTGTGACCCAAGATGTAGTGCACTCGGCACCGGCTTCATCGCATTTCACACCCCCGTCTAAACCAGGTTCACACCCATGGGAACATGTCGCACTGTTTGAATTTTTATCCCCCCGCAGGCATAACTAGGTCTGGATAAATATTTACAAATAACCCATCCAACCCAATTTCCTCACTCTATAAGGGAGGCAAACCGTGGATCAGAGAGGGGAGGAGCACTACGAGACCACACAGCACCCAGAGGCTGAGACTGGTGCTCCAGTCTCAGCCTGGGGCACGATCTCTGGCCACTAATGTGCACTCAGATCCCATCTCTGGGCAGCTCCTGATTCACACCCAGAACATCCCTGGAGTGTTTTCTATGATCCCGAGTCCACTGTGGCCGCCACACCCTCCTCCCCGAGAAGCACTTGGCTAAGTTGTTCATCAAACTGGGCCTCAAAACACCAACACAAGACACCCAGTCTTTGTGGGGACAGCTAGCTAGCTAGCCGTTGGCTGGTTGAACTCAGGCCCAGCTCTAGGATGGGAACTGTATTTCCTTACACACATACCCCCAGGGGCAAACCCACCTTTCCTCTCTGGCAATACCACACACTACTTGAAATCCCCCATGCAAACTCCCCAGACAGACACCATTTCAGATTCTGTGGTTATTCACCCTGGCTCCATAGTCCGGTATTCCAGGTCATGGAGAACACAATTCTCCACAATACCTCATATGCACACACTCATGCACACACAATCCCGGTTCGTGGTGTTGTGTCCCACCCCACCACACGACCCTAACCCAAACACACACTTAGCTGTATTCCTAGCCACAGTTCTGCACCACAAATCCTGGCAAACGGGACCACACCCGAGCGACAACTTTTCGTCGGGCACAAGCACCCCGTACACACACGCACGCACTCACAACGGCATTGAGCCCCGCGCGCGGCTTACCTGGCAGATGCAGGCCTCGGGCGCCGGGGAGGGGGCCGGGGCTGCGCGGGCTGCCGGCCGCGGCGCGCTCCAGCAGGAGGCCATGGTCCGCGCGGCAGAGCAGCTCGTGCTCCCGCAGCGAGAACTCGTCGCCGGGCAGCAGCTGGCGGCTGCACACGGAGCAGCGGAAGCACTCGATGTGATAGACGCTGTCCCGCGCTCGCATCACTAGATCGCTGCTGCTGAAGCCCACCTGGCACTTGGCGCACTTGATGCCGAACAGCCTGCGGGCCCAAGGCGCGGCCGGTGTCAGCGAGGAGCCTGAGGCCCGCCTCGCCTCCGGGGCTGCAACCGGCTCCGGACACGCGCTCCCAGGACGCTTTGTGGCCCACAGGGAGCTTGCGGGGACCGGCCCTCGGGGAGTTCGCGGGCCCAGATGCGCACGGCGGCCCACGTGCGGAGTTGGGGGTGGCCTTCTCCCCCAGCCGGGGAGCGCGGATGAACCGCCGCGGGCAGCCCCAGCCCCCGGCAGGCGGTAGCTGAGCCCGGGCTCTCGCCGGCCTCACCTGACATAGTCCCGCTTGCAGTAGGTCTTCCCGTCTCTCACGAAGCACGTGCACGTCTCGTCCAGGTACTGGCTGCACTCGGCGCACTTGAGGCAGGCGGCGTGCCACTCCAAGTCGGGCGACACCCGCAGGATAAACTGGTCGTGGATCTGACTCCCGCAGCCCACGCACATGGCCGTCCCGGGCTTCTCTGCCGGGGAAGGGCGCGGGGCCCGCGTCAGGCCAGGCTGCGCGGACCCGGGCGGGCCTCGGCCACTCCAGCCCCAACCCAACCCGCTCGCTCGCTCGCTCCCTTTCAAGAATTTCGACCACAGGGAAAAGTGGGCTTTCTAAACGTCCAAACAACTGGAAACGAAAAAACAAAATCTTCCGAATTTGAGAAGGCTTTTTGTCTCCCCTTCACCCCCCCCCTCCATTTTTTTTGCTACTAAATTCATTTGGACACAGTCGTTTTATCCATGTATCTTGTAACTGAAAGC